CGGGGCCTTCGACTCAAAAGTCTGACCCACAAGGCAGTGGGGCGTAAATCCAACGCGGGAGCGTGAACGAAGCACCCGTGTGGGTGCTTCTAGAGTCCTGTCACGCAAGGCCTTTGAATTTCGATTAAGTTTGTTGTTCGCTGGTGCGTTGATTGTCGTTCCGCTTTTCGGGATCAGCCCTTAGCCTCGTGCACTCAATGAGACAAGCGGAATGTGGACGAGACAGCACTTTATTGGTTGGAGCTGCCCATCTTGGGTGGTTGGTAACTGCACGATGATGTGCGAAGACTTCTCCCACCGTCGAGAGGAAGCCCCAGGTACCCCGCTCTTACGTCCATCTAACGGGTTTTATGATGAGTAAACTGCCCCTCACCGTGTTTAGTTGCTGGAGTGACCTCTCTAGGGGCTGGTGTGAATAAAAGAAAGAAGCCATAGGGTGCCCAAGTAGCTGGCTTGTGAGACTGGTCTTCGTCTGGCCTCTACCCGTTGACCTTTCAGACATGATTGGATCTCCTTCTGTGAAAAGCCATCCTATGTAGCTCGCAGGGTCAACGAGGCGAGCAAGCCATCACACCGCGTCAAATTGCAGTTCGTCGTGGTATTTTCATCAGTATGACCACAATAATAACTTCAACTTTACTTAAGTGTTAAACTGTTGAACTATGAACTTTTGTTGTGCGTCTGAATAAAAACTTGTTCAGACGAGATGTGGTATTTCGCACCGTCACGACGAGACCTCACCTGGACGTTGTACGGTAGCTTGCGTGGCTCCATGTTTCTGCTAACTACACAGGATGGATTTCCAAAGCCTGAAAGGTCACTCGATAGAGGGCAGGCAAAACTCAGTGCCACAAGGCTCTACCTCGGCCTGCGCAACCGGGTAGTACCACGCCCACAAACTAACCATTGACTTATGAACATAGGCATACATGTATGTCACAGAATATTACACTTCTGCAAAGCTTTCTCTTAAAATCTGCACGCAACACTTCCACCCGCCCCACACACAATACCCCCATTTTCCCACTGTTTGTCCCACCCCAAACGGTTCCACTGACATAGGTTCATGTTGTAGCTCGCCGCTATCATCCTTGACATCTGTCTCGGGGCCGACCGTTCCGTTCCTCCAACCTCAGTCTATGTTCACACTGGCCTCACCAAACGTAAGAACTTTAATGCGTATGGGACAACAAGCAGGTTTGGCTCGTACGCTCGAAAGTCTAGAGATTGATGTGTGTTGCCTCTCAGAAACACGCATCCAGGATCCGAACTCAGTGATCCTATTGACGTCTCCTTCCAACCCAAAAGAGGCGTTTCTGGGGATGCTATCGCTTCAGCGTCT